GAACGCAGAGCTTCATAAAACACAACGACTACAGAGTGCATTGCACTGCGACGAGACATGCATCAATAGATACATCAATTTAGATGTCACGTACAAATTCTCCCAGGTCAAGTAAAAAAGTGCACAATCAATAACAATCGAGTACCTAAATCCAGCAGACGTTTTTGGGCCAAACGTTAGCCGACGGCAGAATAGCTTGTTAGGTGCGGTTTAAAGTCAATTGCATCATGTACGTCTGACGAATAACTGGAGTGCCGCATCCTTAAAGGTACACCATAAGCATTACTCCGCTCCAATATAAGTACGCCTATGTCTGCGGGCATGAAAGCAGAATAACATTACTGTCGGAGTTAAAGGAGCTTGCAAAGACCACTTCTGACTTATTAGCCAGCGTCATCAGCCAGCCATATCTTACTGCAGGTTTTTGAAATCCCTGTGTATATACGAGGACTCAAAGAAGTAGTACTGACACGTTTACGCTCTGACCTGCCACTAAAACGAGTAAACCAATCGAAGGCCAGAAGCAGACGATGTTTTGCTTGAGTTTTCGGGTGCATGCAGGATTCCCCCATCGACAGTGAGACAGCAGCAAACGAATAAGCACCCATTATACGTTCTGGCTGTCATCATAAGTCTGCAGGCCTCCACACTGGATCGCGCGGGATCGTCACTTCCAATCGCGTATCGCACCAAAACACCCAAAAATAGAATTCACGCTGTTTTCGCGATTCCTTGGTACTTGTTTCACGTATAGCACGCAATACCAATTTCATCCAAATATTGCTGCGTCACTGGCTAACGGCGAAAGTAGTCGAACCGTCTCAAAGAAGCTCACAGGTGACACATGCGCGTAGAGAAACACAGCTGATGCATCGTTCCATCCAAGCCCACATCGACTACAGTTTCGATGAACGCAGCGGAACGGGCAACTGCAGCGACGCTAGCAAGGTGTTTGGCCACTAGGCAGCAGGCACGGAGCAGACTGCAAACGTAGATGGAGAGTAATCCGAAACTACCATTTGCCATTTACCTTCCTGATTCTGTAGCGTATCTGCTAATCCTCTGTAGGCTGCGAAAATGTTAAGTTAGGTTGATAACAAGTCCAACGACAGCTGTTCAAACAATGAGCTTCCATCTAGAACCACTGAAGCCTATGAAATTAAAATATTTTCAGGAAAATCGGTAGAATAGGTAAGGGAGTATATTTAAAAGTGTATTTGGAATACTCAAAAAGGGCCAACAGATGGGTTATACAATAGTCCATCTTCCACAAAAAGTTAAATCGATAGAGGTAGATGAATGCGAGGCAAAGTTAAACTTTTTTGTATCAGAGTAAGGTTAATCGAGGTTACAGAAGCCTATAAGTAAGACATTTGATAGTAAAATAATTAAGTAGACACAAGGCACAGCGGTTTATAGGAGCACAGAAAAGGAGCCAGTGGTTTAGTTGACGAGGGCCACAAGCATGCTTCTATAGTCCCCCGACGTGTCTCCTTCGATGGACTTTGCAAGACTCTTCTTGTACTTGGCCTGATATGCCCTTTTGATGTCCTCCAGATCCAACTACAATGAGAAGAAAAAAGAAGGTCACATTTTGCGAGATGCACATTGAAACGTTATGGAACAAAACGATAAATGATCAAATAAATTTGCAGTGTGCTCGAATGGATGAAAGCAAGGCCTCACCAGGCGGGGAAAACCCACTTAATAGACGAGTTTGTTCGCCCATCGCAAGCCACGGGATTCGCCAATGCTTCAAAGAGGGCACAGTCGTGACCAGTGCGTGAATCTGCATATACAATGAAGCTAATTTGAAAAAGACCCACCTGACACGCTCTCTTTCGTTCCACATGTGTCTTAAGACGATGAAATAGCCCGCCTATGCGAGCCACGCATGACTAGTCTCTTATTCAACATGCATAAGGCCCTTATGAGGGAATAGCCGATGAGTTGACGTAAAGGCCACATTAAGAACGAGATATTGTAGCCTCAGCGTCGGTCAGAGTAGCATCTACTTACCCCGTCGAGTGACAACGCACCTGTTATTGCGTGTTGATTGGTTTAAAGTGCGGTTGGTTGTTTCCAATGAGTTGTAACGACCTAACTCTCTCTGCCTTATCCCATACCAGCAGGTAACCCCATAAATGATTAAACCTTCCGCAGAAATAACTGATAATATAATTTTGGAAATCGTTATTTGAAGCGTCATGGCATAGATATGGCACAAATCAAGTGGCCAGTTGCGAAAGTGGAAATAATACCGACTTCTTGGAAGTAGAAGAGCACAAAGGTCTGCCTGACCTTGCCAAATAGGCTGTGTAGCTCTCTCCTGATACTGATAAATCTTTTTGATATATAAGTCTATAGAGAAGTAATACTGACAAGCACAGGGGCGATGGGAATAGTCGTTTCTGACTTTCTTGCACCGTCAGACAGTCTAAGCCAAATAGGGCCTAATATTTGACGGCGGTTTCACTTAATTAATAAGTTGCAAATATTCCCATTAGATAGTTCATAACACAATTTTCAATAACTTCAGTAACTGAAGTTCAGTAACTTCTCATCAGGCCAAACAGTTACAAAGGAGGTTTAAATTTAAAATCGATAGTTTGTCTTTCTTTACATGTAGGGTCCAATCAGAGCGCGGAAATGTGCAGCCAGTTAGGTAATCATTGGCCATGCCAAGTTGGGGGCTTGCACGAGATTCTTCTGTGGACACAAAACCGGTTTCCTTAATCGGATTGCGGTTGCTTCTGCTGTTGCCAGCA